AGGGCAGTGGTCAGGAAGGAAGGGTCCAGGTAAGGGGCGGAGTCCGGTGGCCGCACGTGCTCCCCTCTCCGGTCCGGGGCGCTTCTATCAGCGGCTTCGTCCTTCTCTCTGCCCATGGCACTTGAAAGGACTAGACGGCCCAGCATCCTAGCCCGACGGCCGTGTAATGGGTGCGGTTCTCGTCCGGAATGCAGGTCCGGCACTATGGCGGCACGGGAGTCCCTCTACGCACCTCCCCTGGACCCACGAGGACACCAGCGTGCATGCACGGGGAAGAGACTGGTCTCCCGAGGAGAGGCGCGCTCGGCATTTAAACAGCAGCGGTGATGAGGCTCCATTCAGTTCAGGTGTGCCTCGTCACAGTGTGTTGATATCCAGCCGAAGAGCAATCAACCATAACTTCAGGCGAGCAGGCTCAGAAGTCGGTTTGAACAATCCGGATAAGCGCAAGTAAGTACCAGTTTGATTAGCCGTCGTACCTACGATGTTTGTGCACTGTGTAAACAATGAATGATGTATACGCGCGAGAGATCACTTCTGGTGCTTACGTAAACTACGCCAGAGCGCGTACACACCTCACGCACAGGAAGCCGAGCGCGCGTCCAAAGACAGTTGGACATAGTGGTGTATTAGAGGTAAAAAATTATATAAATACTGTTCGGTTTCTGGCACAAACCGATCGTTTCGTGTGTTGGGACATCAATGTGTCGTCACGAGCCGCAGGGTTTAATTTGGATTTGTATGTGCATGTTTTTTTTACTCTTATAGACTTTGTTACCATTGCCATGCATTATAAGACTGATGTTCCATTCACCAAGATTCTCTGACTCAAACTGTTTTTTTTTCATCAACCAACTTCAACAAAGATCAACCTGAACCTTCAGATTGCATCAAACCTCTTTCAGACAGATGAGACGTGCAAGTATTCAAACTGGTCTTATTAATTGATACATTAGGTATCATTTGCACCTTTTTACAAAGGTGTGTTTGAACTAAGAATCTGATGTTCCCTTCAGGCTGTAAATTTGCTGAATATCAAATGGTTCCATAACTTCATATTTTTATTTCTCTGCTCTTTGCTGCTTAAGCTTTAACCCTTTCCTATACCAAATGTATGCGTGTGTGTGTATGTTAGACCAGTTTAAGTGTTTATGTGTATGTTAGACCAGTTTAAGTGTTTATGTAGTATGTTAGACTAGTTAAGTGTTTATGTAGTTAATAAAGTCTTACTTGTATCACACTTGACATTGTTCATTGTTTGCTCATAACTGGAGTCCCTAATCATGCAGATTTATGCTACAGGCTTTGTGTAGAGTTGTACAGTAAGAAAGTTATTTCCCTTAACCAGGAAATTAACGTTCTTAGAATTGACAGACAGCTGACCCTGAGAGGTCAAGTAAATATCTACAGCGGACCTAAATATTTATAATTAATTATAACTAGTTATGATTAATTATTCATATTTCCCCATGAGCTGATATGCTACAAGGCTTATTTTACAAAAGCACAAAGATTAGTTTTTATTGTGAATGTACACAAATATAGGCAAACCTTTTACAATTCCGATTATCTTTAGGACTAAAA